AGCACAGAGAGATGGACACAGGTTTCTTCAGGAAGGAAGAGATTCTTTATTGGATCACCGATCGGGACTCAGAGGGACTAATGTCACCAAAAATACAGCAAGTTCTGAGCCCTGAACAATAGTGCAGGCTCCCTATATAGGCACATAACTCCTCCCATATTAAGCTCCACCCGCACATTCTCTTGACCAATCATTACAAATAAGAATTAACTTCCTGCTTGACCGCATGGCTTGTCCAGCACAATGGAGGAGGGAATACTACATCCTGTATTCTTGCACATGCTCCGTACACTACTGATCGTATCTTGCCTCGTGCAACCAACTGATCGATACGTCAGCATATGCACGTACACATGCCACGTGGTAATCTCGGCCTACTAAATTTATTTTTACCGAGATTCCACCACAATATCACAGAATTAAACTGCCATTTGTTTAACCTTTCAACAGATATATTTTCAGCAATTTCCCTTCCCTAATTGTATTATGGTCCCTCATACCATTTGCCCATTTGCCTATTTGCCTCCTGCAATGTCATTGCGGTAGCAGGTTTTTTTTCCGTGATTAATCTAATCCAGTGCTACTTATAGGATTCTCCATAGGAAAGCTTTGAATTAAATACATTTATATGGGTTTCCAAATCATATGACCAAGTTTTACTTGGTCAGTGCAATGTAACTGCCTCTAGTGGCTATCAGTATGACAGCAAACATTCTCAAAAGTTAATACAAATACACAAAAATAAGTCCTGTGCTCAAACTCCCACTTCTCCTGAGTGGCAGCAACAACCATAGCACACATCAGCCCCAATACATACAATAAAAAACAGAGTTACATACATAATACATAAAAGAAAAAAAGAGTTACCTGCACACTAGCCCAAATCCCTATGCATATTTAAATAAATTGAGGTTATTTAGTAACTCCTATGGCCAATAGATGCAAGCCCACCTGCTATGTCAAGGCACATGGGTTCTACACTAACAATTCAACTGGCTTCCTTCAGCTTCAGGCAAAATAATCTCCAATGAGACATAGAGAGTTATTTTATGAACCCCTACATACTTATTAACCCCTAATAGGAAGCACAATTGTTGGGTAGCAGTATTGTAATGTGGCTGTGTGATACAAAAGTGAATACAAATATACAAAAATAAGTCCTGCGCTCAAACTCCCACTACTCCTGGGCGGCAACAACGACCATAACACACAACAGTACCAATACATACAATAAAAAAACAAAGAAAAAAATAGTTACCTGCGCACTAACCCAAATTCCTATGCATCCTTAAATAAATTGAGGCTATTTAGTAACTTCAATGGCCCACCTGCCACGTCAAGGTAAAGTTCTTAGACTTGCCCACCGGAATACAGGGAAATTTCCCAGTGGACCGGGGCACTTGGGGCACTTGTATACTCAGTACTCTCTGAGGGGAATTTTTTCAGTATATAACAGGAGATAGATAACCAGGGGATTGTTCTTCTTTACTCCAGATTTAATAAAGCTCATTTATATATAATTTTGAACTATACCTGCACATGATACTTTGATCTGTTATATACCTTTGTTATATAGGAGCATATCTTATCAGGCAACAATTCATCATTTATTATTTGGTTACCAGATCTTGCGATATATATTTACCTGTCTATAGGTATTTGGTATTCTATATTTGTATAGTGACTATCCACTGCACTACATGTACTTGCAGGAGATACATTGAGTCATAAACACTTTAGGTGTTGTGATTATTTGTATGCTTTTCTTTATTTTTTTGTCAATCATATCGGGGTTAAGCCCCTAGAGACCCCTGGAGTCTCATCCTGGTACTTAAGATAGTTAGACACTCCTGGCGCTGTCCTTCTAGTATAGCGACACTGGTGATGCCTACTATCCCATATCTGCTTGCTCAATATACCTTTTACTCCCTTTGTTCGGCTGTCCATACCCCCCCCCATTCGTCTACCGCACCCCCATCTGTGTGGTCCATATGGTCGCTTCTTTTAACAACCAAACACCCCTGACTCTCCCCCTCCCCCTTCTGAATGTATTGCTTCTCTTTGCCTCTCCCCCTCCGCCTGCCTTTTCCTGTCCTAGCAGGACATTGTCCCTCTTCCACCCCCCCATCAGCTTCTTGGGATGGGAACCCCTGTTGTATTGTGTTGGAGACCCCATGTAGGTGTCTGTGCATGTAAAACCTTGTGTGTGTTGTACTCCTAGAGCTGTGTGTCATCCAGTTACTGGGGGAAAATGAATGCCTGCTTGTTTTAAGGGTTCTAGAGTGGCTGAAAGAAGGTAATAGCAGAGGTAACCGACCGGGTTACCCGTGGTCCGCTACAGCCAAACAGTGCAGAAACCCCTCCTCCCCCCACCCAGTACACACTCTTATGTCGGGAGCTTGATGAACTGAGCAGTGAAGGTCCCCATCAGCTCTAGATTGGCAATGTACTTTATGCACTCGTGAGCAGCAAGCAAGTGAACTTTCAATGCTGCTCTCAAGTGAGACATAAGGAGCTGGTAATCAGGCACAGCATGGCAGCCAATGCAGGTCCTCTGAAGTTTTGCTTACTTTGTGTAAAGTGCTGTCAGGCAGGAAGTACTGGACTGCCAATGTCAGGTGTGTGGGGGTGGTACTTGCCCCCCAGCACATTATTGCTAATATCGCAACATGTGCAGTGTGCAGAAACACTGCACATGCAGACACCTGCCAGCATGTAAACTTCAAATCACTGAAGTGGTCAAGGTGGTTGGAGTAACCCATTAAGGATTCAATTCTTCTGATCTATACCATGGAAACTGGATCAAAGGAATATAGGGTGTTTGCAATTCAGCAGTTTGTACATAGCAGAATTAGTTAACAAATATAAAGCTGATTTTAATAGCAGAATAGATGTGCAATCACTATTGAAATATTCAAATATGCCTTTTTTTGAATTGCCAAATGGCAACAGTTCTTACAGTATGAAGTCATCATTCAGCTGCCTTTCATTGTTTAGTGAATAGATCATATATGTTTGATTTTGCTCATTGCAAATGGTCCTTAGATTGTAGATTTCAATTGATTTCTAACTACACCCAATATAACTAGAGATGATTTCACTTTTTAAAAAAATCTACATTTCAAATGCAAGCCATTCTGGAATACATATCTAAAAACTGTTCTATATTTGGTCATCAAGGTGGAACATTTGTGTTCAGCACTGTCTTGACAATCTTGCATCCTCTTATCTCACTTCTCATCTTACAAGAATTCATACTGAAACTAATACGTGCGCCTGGCAGCCAACTTTCCTACCATTTTCATAATTTCCAAGCAATTCCTGATATTGAATAGTTATTCTACATATATGTACTAATAATATCAGACCATGTCATATTCGTCATGTAATGCCATATTTAAAGTATGAATGCTTTGTATTACTATTTCAAATCCCTAAATACTTGAAATCTCCTCCAATGCCTGTGTGGTGTGCTCAGTGTGGCTCCTCACATATCCTATGACCTCTGAACTACCTCTGCCACTTTACAGAACAATACATAAAGGATATGAGTTAAGCTACTACCTTCTACATAGCAGCTTTTGATCTACCAATCCACCCATGCGTTTGTCCGCTGATCCATCAATCCTGGAGACCACTGTTGCTTCATGTAATAAGGTTATATTTGAACTCTTTGCCATCTTTGATAGAAGTTATTTTGTTCATTGAGACTTTTAATATAAAGAAAAATGTATAGTTAGAGTACTTTCAAAGCTACAAATACAAATGGACAGACAATAAACTTTAATTTGCAGTATTAACATATATCAATATGCATAGGTCAATATATATTATAAGCAGCATGTTTTAGTTTTAAAGCACCAACCTAATCTGTGGAACTAGCGAAGTGAATGTGAAATATGTGGGACATAACAGCGTACGAATGGATGAAGCAACCAAAGATGCTGTTCACAAGAACTTACGAGTCTGTTTGGATGTGGGGCAATTAGAGACAGAAATTAAATGCGTGTTTATGATGTTAGGATCTGATCATAAGTCCAGAATCATGGTGGGATCATGGTCCAAACATACAGAATTGCAAGAAAGACAGAATTTCACGAAATTCAGATATTTGTCAAGTGAAGAAGGATGAAACCTGGTTTTGTGTGGTGATGATGTAGTTCTTTATCTTTAATTTCTTTTCCAAAGTGTGGAAGGTTGGTTACAGGTGAGTAGAACAAATTAAAGGAACACTATAGGGTCAGGAACAAAAAACAACCATCTAGCTCCCCCCCTTGCTCTTAAAACAACCATCTAGCTCTCCCCCCCACCCCCCTTGCCTCCCTAAATATAGCAAAATCTTACTTTTATTCCAGTCTGCTGCTGGCTCTGCCACTGATCTTCCTTTTTGGCTGACATCATCAGGATTGATTCTGTGAGCCAATCACAATGCTGTAACATAGGATTGGCTGGGACTTTCAAGGAGGCAGATCAGGGGCAGAGCCAGCACAAGTAAAACACAGCCCAAACCAATCAGCATCTCCTCATAGTGATGCATTGAATAAATGCATTTCTATGAGGAAAGTTTAGTGTCTGCATGCACAGGGAGGAGACACTGAATGGCAGTGCTGCACACTGTGAAGCACATCTAGTTGCCATCTGAGGAGTGGCTAGTAATGTAAACACTGCATTTTCTATGCATTTTCTCTGAAAATACAGTTTGTACTGCAACAAGCCAATAAGCTGTAGTTGTTCTGGTGACTATAGTGTCCCTTTAATAAATTATAGGTAGCATTTATAACAGTATAATGGTTCCAATAAAGTATGTTTACTATTAAAACATACTTCAACACTTATGGTTCTTGTGCACAAATAATTAGGAATGCTGGAAAAAAAGATAATCTCACTCTACTCAAACTGAAAATCACAAAGTAATTTTGTCTAGAGATTTTGCCATTTATTTGTACAAACTATTATACTGTTCTATTGCTAATAGTTTTATCTACTGTACTGTATTTCAGGACACAGGAGTTGGAAAATCAAGTATAGTTTGTCGATTTGTCCAAGACCACTTTGATCACAATATCAGTCCGACCATTGGGTAAGTAACAAGCAAACCCATTTGTTATTGATATTATTTTGTATAATTTACTGGGGCATGCCAAAATAACCCAAACCTAAAAACCAGACAAAAAAAAAAGCAGAAGAGCTGGACCACTGAGATAGATGAATGTGGTTAACAGCCTATCCCCTGATAAAGACTATCAGGGTTATTCACTAAAGTAAGAATATCAAGTGAACTCAAAGTGAATTTCAAATCCAAGCCCAATATAGCTGAATTGAAAAAAATCTTTAAAGGGACACTCCAGGCACCCAGACCACTTCTGCTCATTGGAGTGGTCTGGGTGCCGACTCCCACTACCCTTAACCCTGCAAGTGTAATTATTGCAGTTTTTTATAAACTGCAATAATTACCTTGCAGGGTTAACTCCACCTCTAGTGGCTGGCTATAGGGCACAGCCAATAGAGGGCACTTCCTGCTCTATAGCACAGAAAACCTGTGCTAGAGCGTCGCTGGACATCCTCACGCTGTGTGAGGACCTCCAGCGTCGCTCAATTCCCCATAGGAAAGCATTGAAAAACATTTTCAATGCTTTCCTATGGGGAGCTCTAATGCGCATAGCGGCATTGCCGCGCATGCACATTAGGTCTCCCCAGCCGGTGGGCGGGATCAGTCTCGCCCACCGGCCGACGTAAAGACTGGGAGGAGCGGCGGCGAGAAGAAACCACCGCCGTGGGACATCGGCGGGGTCTCAGGTAAGTGACCTGAAGGGTTTTTCACCCCTTCAGCAACCGGGGATGGGGGGTGGGAGGGAGAGGGGACCTGCAGTGCCAGGAAAACTGATTGTTTTCCTGGCACTGGAGTTTCCCTTTAAATCAACTATGCTTTCATTTCGTCCTGAACTTTGATATTCATTTGGAATTTTCACTTGAATATTCCTGTAGTTCTTTATGCAATATTTATGCACTCTACTAGGCTGATTAATCAATTGGCTTTAATTCAGTTTGTAGAGAATGACCTGTGGGAACTGTAGTCCTTTCCCAGATCAGCTGGCAGGTGACTTTAAGACGGAAGCCCTATTTTCTTTTTTGCATATGGCAAAGCATCAGAGGAGCTCTAGTTCTACAAAAACTGCATATTTACATGTTGGCCATTTTTGTTTAATGTAAGTACATAGTAGTGCCAGGAGGTGGTCATATGGAGCTGCAATGAAAAGCGACATGCTTTCTATTCTATTAGTGGTGCTTGCTTATTAAAATGCTACATATAGAAACTAAATGCTTCATAAGAGAGAGAAAGCGAAATGCTTTATAATTTTATTGGTCCATGTATCTATTTGCTTTGTGATGCAGAGAGTAAGTGGAAATAGGCTGATGGTGACAGCTGAGAGGAAGGAAATGCAGAAAGGAAGGAAGCCGGAAGTACAGAGAGGAAGTAAGCTGGAAGTGCAGAGAGTACTGGGCACTGTAGTCATTGCTGGTGGTTAAAGCATTTCAGATTCAGTCATCCCAAACTGCAAAACCTTAATTCAGGGAGTTGCTTCACTAGCTACTGCACTCCCCCCCACCCTGCACAGTGACTAAACATGTATGAACAAGGACATGTCATTTTAATATGACAGAACACAACTATTTATTTAACGCACAGATACACACACTGGCACATACACTCATAAACACATACTACATGTCACCCGACCGGGCCCCAATTGGGTGCCTGCAAATCATATAATATCCTGGAAATCACACACACAATCTGACATACATCGTATGATTTGCGGATGTCAGTGAGCCGCATTGAAAATGCAGGACATACCTGGAACCTCTGGGAGAGTTGCGATGTCTGCCAAATGGATTATATATAAAATGTATTTATTTTACATATATAATCAATTTTATATACTAATTATTTTCTATATTAAACATTAATTTCTGTGTTTGTTTTTTATTCTCTCCTTTTTATTTTTTAATAGTAATTAGCTTACTTCATAAGCCCATACTTTGTGCCCCTTCATCCCAACATCCGAAATATTGCTGTACATTTTCAGCAGTACAAAGTGGACAATGGTCCTGAATATGTGATTATCATAGCAGTACTCTAGAAACATTATATGAGCAACCTGATTGGCAGTGCCACTTTGTTGTCAAGTGTTGCTCACTGCAGAAACTTGAAATCCTGGTGATTTATTGTTGTGGTGTACTGTGATACATACAGAGATCTGTGAGCTGTAATAACAAAGGGAAATTGTTGTAGGAAAAGGCATAAAGGAATTTGTTGCTTCAGGAAAGTATCATTTAGGAGAAGATAAGAAAAGTGGACAGGACTCGGAGTCTAGTAGAGCAAAATTACATTGTCATTACCATTTTAAAATAGTTTTTTGTGTGTTTTCTCTTACTTACAGAGCATCATTTATGACTAAAACTGTGCCTTGTGGTAATGAATTACATAAATTTCTCATCTGGGATACTGCTGGTCAGGAACGTGTAAGTATATAGTCAACCATGCTATCTCTATTCACATGTGGATGCCAGTTGCGGGTAAACGGGTGTTGGTTTATTAAAAACAGCAGAGAGGTAAAAATAACTACTGATCACAGAGATCCTGCATTATTCCTACTGCCTCAACTGAAACTAGATAGGGTAATGGTCATGACACAATTTGAATTCAGCAATGTGATTGGTTGGAACATACATATGAAAATATTATATTATACTGATAAGTAGAAATTCTCCCTTGGTGAGTGCGCACTGGAAAGGTTTGCATTGGAAAGTAACTTTTAGGCCTGTTATGCTGTCGTGTAGCAAGAGACTTGTAATGAAGGATTGCTGCATTCTTTAACATCCATAGACCCGACTTAAAGAATAAATCACTTGTCATTGGATTATTGTGTTTGTGAGCAGAGAGATCATGTGGTGTATGCAGAAGACAGATCTCAAAGATCTCTCAAAGAAAGATCTCTGTAATAGCTCGGAGTCACATTTGTGATAAAGAGGAAATGACTCGTTAACGTGAAACTGTAAATATATCCTAAATTAAAAAAATATTTGTATTCTATAATCAACTACAGTTAAACACCAAAGCCTGTCTATAACCATTCATGTAATTTTTTTAGTAATTATCTGTGAAATTTGTCAAGGTGAATGGAAACACTAAGGGCAAATTGATTAGATGATCAAAGAAATGCACATATACTGGGGGAACCTTTTATAATGTCCTTGAGGAATTATTGTGGCAATTAATTAGAAAAATCACCTTATTGTCCAGTTTGTTAAATGGTAAATTCCAACTAATGGCTGTATCAGTGGAGGTGTAAGGAGTAAGTAGCATGCAGATGATAAAAGCAGTAGTGGACCACAGAAACCTGTTGGTGCATTATAGTCAGGAACAACATTAACAATGCACAATGGCTGTTTTTTACAGACAGTCAGAAACAAAGACTGAGTTGGATAATAATTACATCCATAGGATGTACTTCAAAGTGTCAAATGAAAGTGTATCTAAATGTATTTACTTTGCACTTAATTGATAATTGTGGATAACTTCAAATGCTAAGCCATAATAGTTTAGCTTGGGCTAACTGATCTATTTTTTCATCTTGTTCTTAAAGTCACAATTCCAGGCAACACAAAAAAA